AACAGTTTGTATGTACATGTAGTCATCAATAAGCTTATTTCGCCGGGAATCCTGGGTCAGTTGTTGGAGGCCGAGGACAGTGGACAGGGAGGCCACAAACGTCAGCCACACGGCACCGTGGTGTAATATGTCGGGGAATCTGTTTGGATGGAGAATCTTCTGATCAGATAGTCGTTGGTTTGGCGAAGGGAAAGAGTGATTGTAATGGTGGGTCTTAGGGAAGAGGGTGGATGGGAGTTGGAGTATTCGTTTTGATTTTTGCTGCAAGGCCCTCAAGTCAAGAGAGTTCACAAGTTCATAATTTTAATCCGCAATAATAATTATGGATATAAAAATGAAAACAAAATAATTTCTCAGAATGAGCCTTTCGAACTCTGCTCTATAAATGGAACAGAAGTAACATTGTTCTATATTATGAATTACTGAATTAGTACTAAATTGAAGACCCACTGCACTTTAAAGAGCGGCACAGCTCTGATCACAACCCAAAACAAAAACTAAAAGTAATGATTTAGCTCACCTGAGTTGCTGAAATAGTCATGTCAAAAAATCTAAACCACCCTCGAGACAGCAGGCTGGTCAGGCAGGTATTCCGAAATGATTTTGAAGAAAAGGGGATTCCATTTGGGTAATTTTGAGAAATCAGGGATTAATTTTAAAAAAAATTTTTTTTTTTTGGGGGGGTAGCTTTACAAATAGAAGGAGCAATTCTAAATCAGAGTTGCAATTTAGACCAGAGAGTTTTCTTACACTCATCTGTGGGGAAACTGCTCGTTTAGTTGCTTGAGGTTGAAAGTTTAAAAGTGTTGGAATACCAACCTTTAAGTACAGAGAGAGAAGAGAGCGAAGGGAAGTAGAGTATACTATTTCCAGTTCAAGGACTGCTTGACCAATGAGAATCGAATCAAGTGTGTGTTAATAAAAATTACAGACGACAAAGGCAATGAGCCCAAATTATATTTATTGTGAGACCGGCAGCAATGGCACAAGATGAACAATGTACAGTTGCTTTTATTTAGACATCTTTGACCTAGTGATCGGTAGTCACCGTTGCAAGTGATGGCTCTTTGTACTTTGTGGGGAAAATCTTAAAGCGCCTGCCTGGCCGATAACTCTCTTGGCAGTTAGCCCATTTGACAGTGTCTTTAAGGTATCGAATAAAAAAAGAGGTGGTGGTGGAGGGGAGGTTGGTGATCAGCCGGACCCTCAAGGTCAGCGCTGGCCAGCCGTGGCGATAACGCTTATTAGTGAACGATTTGGTAATTTGGGTGGGCGGTGCGGTTGGAATCACCTGGGTAGTGACAACTGTTATTTAGTGCCCCCCCCCCTTGGAAATAATACCATATCATAATGTAAGGTGGGTGGTACAAAAATCTTAACGTCAAATGTGGAAAAAATGGGAGTTAGTTTTACAAAAGTTTGACAAGCACTCCTCTAGATCTGGGTAACCAACCCGTGTCTGAGGTGTAGGGGTTAAGCGTTTTGTTGTCGCACGCAGGAGACCTAAATTCTGGAGTAGGATAACATTTGTTTTCTAGATCTAGTATCTCGGTCTTTCTGCTGGGATGTTGTATCCCCCTCAGCCTAGGTTGTTCCTGACAGGCTAGGTCGGAAACCCGCCTCCTAATTTTTAAAATTGTATCAATGGGGGCGACCTGACCCTGCCTTCCCCCACCCCCAGAAGAAAAAAAAACACACAAAAAAAAACAACAACCCCCAACCAAAAACAAAATAAAAACAACAACAACAACAAACAAAACACCCCTCCCCCACAAACCCACATACGTTAAAAAAAGAAGAAAGAAAAAAAGGACCCAGGATAACAGTGAAATGACAGAGATGGTTCAAGATCGTGCAATGGCGGAAACTCCTCATCAATCTAAGATCATTTTAAAAGAAATTTGGAGGCGGATGTCACGTAAGTCCTACTTCTTGTTAACGGCGTCACAACCACCATGACCGGGTTTTTGAGGATTTTTTTTTTAAGGTTTTGTATTTTGAAACGCGCGAAACAGTTACGAAGAACAAGAGAAAGTTTCCGCTCTTGTATTATTCCTGGAGGTCATCATTCTGCTCTCAATTCCGTTGTCTCGCCTGCTCAATGCTCAAGTCATCATGTATCAGTTACCGCCCTTCGCTCGCGCCGAGGTGCCTGGTTGACCCCCCCATCCCCCGAGTCACTGATGCCATGTGTCCCCTCTCGCGTCTGCTTCAAGACAGCAGCATCCCACGTGACCCCCGTGCTAATCAACGCCACACAGCCGTCTTGTCCGTGACCTCACTGCTAATTTTCCTCGCATGAATTCTCCCCCCTCGTCTTTAAACACATTATTATCTCCCCTCATCCTGGCCCAAACTTTCGACTCGCCCTCTTCTCACTCCCGCCCACCAAACAACAACCAGGGAACAATAAAAGGTCATGCTGCTGGTATCTCTTTTCTTTTCTTTCCTCACTTCCAAGCCTTTTTGCCACCCCCCTTGTTCACGCAGGGCGACCACAGAGAGAGAGACAAGGGTTGGTTCACGAAGACAGACAACAACAACTATCGTTTTCTGTTTTCTTTGAGAAGACGCGACAAGACTCAGTGATTCAGATAATATGTGAGGTATCGTGGTAAAATCAGGCGCTCGTAACCCCCC